TCAACAATTCAAGCAATTTAGTGAAACTTTTATCAGTTCACCCACCTCTTTCCTTAAGATTAAATAGTCTTAACACAGTAGACAATCTTGTAAAATTTTTACATCCTAGATACAAAAAATCTTCCATGTCCCTTCGCAAAGTATCTATCAACGATGTCTTCTTGAAAGCATCAACTTCAATATCACGGATGATGTCTTCTAAAGTATCATTCATAACTTTATCATCTTCAATTGTATGTGACAGATGTCTCTTTTTTGTCCCTTCACCATGCCATACATATTTCGTGTAATTTTGAATAATTCCATTTCCATCATAACCACAATGATTGAATATAACATCCCTATGATATTTTTTCATATTAAAGCATATTTTACAAGGACAATAAAAAATCTCATTATTGTCAGAAAGGTTTTTTTCCTGCGAAATCAAGAAATTATTTCAATCCATTCTCATACTCTAGACTTAATCTATTGGCTTTTATCCAACTACGATCCATAATCACATAAAGCTTCTGAAAAATAAAAATAGTACACAACCATAATATACAAGAACAACTGTAATGAACTATAACAAGAACAACAGTAATGGACTAAAACAACAATAACAACAACAACAACAATAACATACCAAAGAATAATGGTGAGAGAGTTTTTTTTGTTCGCTAGGGCTCCTTAGAGAATAAATGTTCTTTCGCTAGGGCTCGAGAAGTGAATGAGGTAGACGCTGAGGGAATAAAAAATATAAAGAGAATAACAAGAACAACAATAATGGAAAATAATAAGAACAACAATAATGGGTCAAAGCAACAACAAGAAAAACAACAATAATAATAACATACCGGAGAATAACGGTGAGAGATTTTTTTCGTTGGCTGGAGAATAAGTGTTCTTTCGCTAGGGCTCGTGAAGTGAATGAGTTAGACACTTAATGAAAATATAAAGGTTTTTTATCGCGGTTATACTAAAAACCGAGGTAACATATCCGACATAAAACTTTAAAAACTAAACACGCCTTTTTGGTTACAAAAAGAATTAAAAAAATTAGATATTATTTACCTTGGTTTTCCTAAAAACCGAGGTAACATATCCGACGTAAAATATATGAAAATTAAAGACGCCTTTTTAGTTCCACATAAAACAAAAAACCGCAAGAGCTGGGAATCAAATCTCAAACACTGAGCATATTGTTATGTCGCCTTTACATAGAACCGAGGTAACTGAATGATTATTTAAAAAAACGCTCCCGTTACATACACCATTGGTTATATATTATTTGTTATGAAATCTTCATCATAAAAAGCATTATTTGTTGTAGTGTAATAAGGTATTGTTAAACTTTAAAGCTTAATTTATTTTATCATGTGCTTTAAGCAGGGAAGAGTATGACAAAATAGAAGAATGCACAACCACAAAAGAAATATGGGATGCTCTCAAAATACACCATGAAGGAACCAGTCATGTCAAGGAAGAAAGAATAGATGTGGGTGTAAAAAAAGTTATAACCTTTAAAATGTAAGATGATGAAACAGTAGATGAAATATTTGCTAGACTAACAATTATATTGAACACGCTTAGGTTTCTTGGAAAGACATACTCAACTCATGAAATAGTAAGAAATTTTTTAAGAAATCTTTCAAAGATCTAGAGACCCATGGTCATAGCCATCACTCAACCAAAGGACCTCAAAGAATTACATGTTGAAGAACTCATTGGATCACTATGGCTCATGAAGGCCTGATCTCTGAAGATAAACCATAAAATAAATGTAAAATGATGACTCTAAAAATAACCAACACACAAGTACTTGAAGGGAAAATACATGCATTTGGACTTAAGAGTCGAAGAACCTACAAATTGAACAACAAGAGTGTGACCATTACCAACAAAGACCTTATTAGAATAGGTACAAGAATGGATATTTTGTAGGTTTGAAAAACAAGAAGTGATATGATGTGCTGCACTTGATTATATAAAACAAGCCTGAGACTCTATGTAAGTAAATATTGTAATCTAGAGTGTAAATTAGATTATCCATTATGGTATATTAGAATTTTCTCGATTATGAGTGATAATAATTTTATTCTTATTTTTCTAGGATTGTTATGAAGACAAAGTGCAGAAATATAAATTCTGAAAAATAAAGAACTCAAAGATATATATTAGTTTTACTTCCAATCAAGGGTATGTCTAGTCCATTCACACCTCATGAGAGATTTTACTATGTTAGAAATTATACTATTTCACCCTAATACTTTCTTCTAATCTCTAACATAATAAATAATGCTCACCGTCTTCTGATTTTACACTTAAATAGAAAGCATACTACTTTCTAATACAACACAATGATCTTTAAACACTTTGTGATCTATGATAGAATTTAGATAATAGATGAAGAAGTTTTTGCACTTGAATCAATTATGTAGGAATTGATTTTCCCTTATAAATGTTACAATTCACAAAGTATAAGACTTTAAGTGCTAAAAAATAAATATGCAACTTACAATTATACTTTAAGAATTATGCAGTAAGTTTCAAAAAAATTTATACTCAAAACACTTAATGATGAAAATGAAAAAGATTTGAAATTGGAATTGATTGGAAAAGGTGAGTTTGAAATTCAGAATCCACCGCTATTTATATTCAGATTATACCTTTTGAAAAGAATACAATGTCATAAAGAAATTCCATGACTCATGACCAAAGTTTGGAAATCGTTAGATTCAAAATGAGTTATGAAAATGTGTTATTGCTTCAGTGGTATTTGATTACCATAATGTTGTAACCGGTTACAGTTGTAACATTTTAAAATTAAAAGCAAAATTTTGTGTATGTAACCAGTTACAGGTTTTGTGTAATCAATTACAACTGTTTGAAAAAGTTTAAATACATCTTGTAACACATGGCTTGGTTTCAAACGATTTTTAAAGATGCGAAGAAGATTGGAGATGAAACTTTATGATTTGTTTTGAGCTCATAAAGTGATATACATAATGTAATTGCAATTGATACTTTTATCTCAAGATCAAATCATCTTTATCCAATGCCTTGAAGGTTAGTTGAGTACCAATCTTCAACATAATCAATTGCTTAAAACTGTAAGTTTTTGCCTTCTTTGATAATGCATTTGATCTAGATCCGCTGTCTTAATCAAAACATAAGATAATTGTAAAAGCTTGTCTTCACACTCTATGCCTTATAATACATAAAGAGTATCTTGATGAGTTAAGAGTGCAGTGGCCTGGGTGGAAGTAATAGCTTGACTTATCTGACTCGTATGGGTTTGATCAGTTCTAACTGAAGTAGAAATTTGTCCTTAAGATTTCATTGGTGCAAACACAAAGTACTCATCAAATCTATGCCAACAGTCCATGACTGCATGAGCACATTTGATGCAAAGTTAGAAGATTGATTTATCTCTTGTAGTATTAGCCAGTCTTCCATGACCCCTAACTCTAAAACCACGAGTTCGACCACGAAAATGTTGATAGGAGCCTGATCTAACTTCACTCCTACTAGGGAAATTATTGGATACGACTTGAGCTACATTTTTCATTGCATTTGAAGTTGAAAGCTCTTGACTATACTTATCCTACTAAGTTTCTTGAACATAGAGCAATGCTTCCACATCATATATTTCTGTAGGTTCCACTTTTCCGTAAATCATCATGATGAATGAGTTATTTTTTTAGGCAAACCTTAAAGAATTACACCAATCTGATATCTTTTAGATATTGGATCACCAATAACTAGCAACGAAACTGCAATAGTTCTAATGCAAAACATACTCTGAGTTAAATATATTATCTTTCTTGCTCGCCTTCATTTCAAATCTTAATCGATAAACTCTTGAATTCATCCAAAAATGAAAATGCTTATGCATTCTACCCCACCTCATACACGCTTACATAAAAGGACTTTTAGTAACATGGATTTCGAGATTGTGGATATTAACCAAGTGAATAGAGCTTTATCTTAGACAATCTAAGATTCATACTTTTTACAAATGATATTGGTTTTGAACATGGGAGGAATACGTGATATGCAATTTATAATGGCCATGCAAGCTTTGATAGTTAGTTACACCATACAAAAGTTTGTTAGTTATTTTAACTAACTCTCTTAACACTTTCTAATTAACATAAATATCTTATATAACTATTATAACTGCTTGCTAAGTATGGTACTCCAATATTTTTTTTAAAAATCCAAGAGTCAATCTTAAATTTCACTATAATTTTATGTTGAGTAAAAAAAATATTTTTTATGTTTTTGTATAAATTAATATCAGAATAAATAAATAAAATCACTTTTTTTGTAAATTTAAAAATAGAAACCTTGACATTATATTCTATCATTATAATTATATATTTTTTTAACAAGGTCAAATTTAAATATTAAATATTATAAAGTATATGAACTATTCAAGTTGTCTTTCTTTAATTTTGACTATCCATATTTTTTACTATATCAATGACTTATTACTTCCTTATGTATGATGAACAAGTTTACTCCTTGTCTATGTTAAAATCCACCCCTTAAAATATCTAGTCTATATGTTCTTTTAAGCACATCATAATTGGACATGAGGAGTTCAAATACTCATGTGTTAAGGGACCTATAATTATTGAAGTCATGGGGAGTAATTTTTTAATCAAATCCACCTCTAATAAGCAACTCTCGTGACTACATTGCACATGTTTACAACTAACAAGTGGGTATGTCTATGAACCCTATCCTCAACCAAACTTGGCCACGTGAATTTGCTCCAAACTCCAAATTCCAAAGCTCAAACCTCAAAAACGTGCAACTCACGCGCTGTGACCACAATTGGAAATAGACCACAACATGACAGAGGAGACTGTGGGTCATAATTTCTAGGATATTCTCAGCATGGCATCCTTAAAGTTTTACTTTCCTTTCCACTTTTCAAAAGGGTCTTTCTTTCAACACCAATAACCTTGTTTTGTTTTTTCATTTCAGAAAAGTTCTTGGTTTTACTCATGGAGATTGAGCCAAGAAAAGAGACCATTTCTCAAGTTAACAGGTTTTCATTTTTCTTGTTTTTGTAGTGTTTATTCATTGATTGTTTAACTCCTACATGATTATGTTATGCTAGTAGGGAAATATTGATAATTTACCTTAAAGGTATGAGATTTAATGAAAATCTAGCTTTTTATGATCATGATTTGTGGTTTAGTTTTTCATTTGTTATACTGATTATATTGCAGAGAGAATTAGTTCTGTTATAGATAAATTTTTCAGTTTAAAATTGATTTCTTTTAGTTATGTTGACACGACAAAATGAATAAATTAAATGTAATTACGTAAGTTTCAGACGAGGAACACTTTTTTTTCAGAAGGCCGGTGCTACTGAGGTTTGAGATATATTATTGTCATGATTTTTAATTTTTTTCTTTTCTACTGACAATTTTCTAAAGTTTTTCCAGATTCCAGGTGGATGAAATGCATGACATTAACATTATTGAATGGAGCAAAAAAAGAAAATTGCAGGGTTTTCAGTTGGATTTGCTTAGACCAAAACATAAATGTTGGGTTGAGAGTGTTTCTTCTGAAGATGAATCAATGACCGATGATAGTCCAATTTTAGTGAGTGCAAACAACGACGCGGTTAATAGTAGAATGGATGCTGCACATGTTGATGATAGATCTGAACCCGAATCTGTCAAAGACAGCAATAGTTTTATGGAAGACACCGATACTTCCATGTCTGTAAATGAAGAAGCCAAACTCGAGGCAGATTGTGTGAATACTTACCTCTGTGGTATGGCCTCCACTTCTTTTGTTGTTTAAGGATTTGTTTAGGTTGACTGATTTGAGATTATTTGCCGACATAAGAACTTGTGGTGAGAAATCTACAGGGATTGACCTGTTAGTGAAGACTTGAGTCTTGAGAGTGTGCTTCTCTTAAGGTCTTAGGTTCAAATCTTACTAAGAGCTATGCTCTGACTTTAACTGGGTTGGATCAGTTTATACAGAGCTATGCTCTGACTTTAAATTGAACCTTTTGCAAGTGGACGGTGGGATATTGATCTCCTTAGATTAGTTAGTCGCAAGACCGGATACCAAGCTTTAAAAAAAAAACTTGTGGTGGGATTGTTTAGGCTAGCTAAAGAAACAACTAATGACATGTTCATAAGTTATTTTTAGCTTATTCATATAATCCCTTCAGAATTATTTATCCAATCAATGTCTTAATATGAAAACAACAGTTTGACTTTATTTTATCTTTGATGTATCAACAGTTAATAGGCTAAGCTATAGTGAAGACGAAACGTTTATCGATAGCAAATACAATCCATCCTACGATGATCCTGATACAAAACCAATGGAGAATTCGGAGGAGCATCTTTCGGAGGCGCATCTTCTGGGATATTCAGACAATGTTAAAGACATCAACGATGATCAATATGTAGATAAGGAATTTGAAGATTTTCTCTTTTCTAATGGCGTGAATCCCGACAAGTATGTTCTTTCATCCAAAGTATTGTTACTAAACCAAGGTATGCATTATTCCGTACCCGTTACACTGCAAATATGCGATAAAGATAGGATCATGACACAACTTGTGAAAATAGTTTATTTTGGTCAGTAACTCTTAGGATCACATATGATAATGTTTTAAATGCAGAAGCTGAATCAAGCACAAGGGAACCGACAATTGATCAGGAATTTGAGGAGTACTTTTCCGCACTTATGATCTAGTAAAAGTTATAAAGGAGTAGTAGATCTATATTTAGTTCTGACCAGTGTTGTTAGTCAGGGAAAATAGCGGTTTCTTCAAATTCTGATATGCTATAGTGCTGTAGCCGCCAATTAACAATACTTAAGAGTATTGCGGAATCATAGCAATTTGTTCAAACTCTGCTATGCTATTGCACTGCTATAGTCAATATTTAGAAACACTGATTGTTGTATATATTACTTGTATGAAAATTAGGAAGAGTGATTATTCTGATTACTCTTCTTAGTGTTATCTTCTTCCTTCTCTCAAGTTGGTTGCAAAAGGTTACTGTCAACAATATCATGGAGATTTTTCAAAAGGATTTGGACTTGTCGCTTGTTTGGGTACATTTTGAATTCTTGTGTAGAAGGAGAAAGAAATCTTCTGAAATCAAGCTCTCGAGAAACTTATCCACCAAAAGCTTAGCATATATCGATCAAGATCATATATTCTCTAATATTTTTCTCCAAAAGTATTAAATTTAAATAGAGACTATGGTTTTAAATTGCACTCAAGAACTGCAATTGCTGTTATAATATTGCTGACGCAATGGCTTCCGCAACTGCATCGGATTGAAATGCAATGTTGCGATAATTGTGGTTGCAGCGTGAATTTTAATATTGCTGATGCGATGGCCTCCACAATTCATGCAGCAACCACAATTATCGCAATTACAACACCCGACTGCATGTTTAATTTTAAATCATAGAAACATTTGTCATAGTACACAAAGGAGAATAGTATGCCTTCCAGTGCGATAACTTCGGCAAATAGTATAAGTTTATGTTGAAATTCTCTCACACTTAGTATATGTCTCTACAACAACTCTAATCCCAATGACTATTTACTGCAATTGTCCTATCAAACCTCTCTATATAACCAGATCTCTATTAATGAAATCTCCATTCAGAAGAAAAGTGAATTTTTATAAGAATGTCGCTGAGAACACTTTTGCAAGAAAGAAATAAATCATTAAATATTTAAAAGTCACAAGCAATATTCATGAACTTGCTATTAAAAAGTTAAAGGCTTAAACGCATTTTTAGTCCTCCAACTTATGTTTTTTTTAAACTTTTAAATTTAAAAAAAAAAAACTCAACTTTTAAGTCTCTCTCTTTGAATTATCTTGGGATTTTCTTGGTCTCCTCTTCAGTTTAGGCTATGTGGTATGACCAGCGCTGATGTGGCATGGTAGATGTTGACCCAGGCTGGAAATAACATTGCCATGTCATTAAAAACTTAATATATTTAATTTTTATAAACATTTAAAATAAAAAAAACATTTTCATTAACTTAAACTGAAGAGATTCAATCTTCCCCATTCATAAAAGAAGAAAACGTGTATCTTCCCCCATTTGAATTATGTGAACCCTAGAAATCGTCTTTAAGAATTCTCCAATTGCTTCACTCAAAGCCTTAGCGCGTTGTCTGGGAGGAGAAAAGCAATGGACAAAATTCCTTCAGCGACAGCGAAAAGCAACAAAGAGAAGTTTTGTCTCAGGTATGCAATATTTTGTCCCCCGTTATAGAAACATGTCGTTTTCGTTTTAGGGTTTGTGTTTTTTTGCACGTGGTTGTCCTAGTCGTTTTAGGGTTTGTGTTCCTTTGTCGTTTAAGACTTGTGGTCCCATTTGGGTTATGTTGATTTGTGTGTCTTCCTTTGCCTGACTTGTATTTAACATGTATTCTAGGCCATCAGAAACTCAAAAAATTAGGTTTAGAGTTCATCATAGAGGTTATTTTGTGGACACCCCTGCGAAACTGTATGTAGTCGGGTTAATTTTAGAAATGAATTGGAAATGGAATGTTGACTACCTGTCCTATTTTGAGTTGTTGGAATTGATTAAAAAAGATGGGTATAGAGACATTATGTGTATTTGGTATTGGAACCCTAGGTATAGTTTTACTCGTGGCCTTAGAAAGATTAAGGGCAATGGTGATGTGTTGCGACTAATTAGGGATGTTGATGGATGTGAGGTAGTGGATTTGTATGTTGAGCATAGTATTAGTGTACCTGACATTGTAGATGATGCAGAAGTAGGACATGACATAATTTCTGATGATGACGACGTTCAATGTACTAGTGAGAAATTTGTTGATGATGAGGTGGAAGTAGACAATAATGCTGAAGCAGTTGATGATGCTGAAGTAGGTGAAGTGAACAATGATGTTGAAGTGGGTGATTGTGATGGTGTTGAAGTGAGTATTGATGTTGAAGTGAGTGATGATGATGGTGTTGAAGTGGATATTGATGCTGAAGTGGGTGATGGTGGTGGTGTTGAAGTGAATATTAATGCTGAAGTGGGTGATGGTGTTGATGTGGATAATGATGCTGAAGTGGGTGATGGTGTTGATGTGCATAATGATACTGAAGTAGGTGATGGTCATGATGACAATGGACCTGAGTTAGATAGTGAAGAAGAGTTGGAGAGTGAACTTGAGTTGGATTAGGCAATTGTAATTCCAACTAAAACAATTAAACCACATGTCAATGACAATGAGTTTCACCATGATAATGGTGAAGATTCTGACCAGCTGCAGACACCACCTGAGAGTGAAGATGATGAAGAGTATGAGAGGTTTCCTACCTATAAGGTTGATGAGGGAAAAAATTTAAATTAGGCATGAAATTTAACAGCACGAATTTGGTAAGGGAAGCCATAAAGGAGTATGCTATGATGGAAAAAAAGAATGTGTATCTAAAAAAGAATGATGCAAAGAGGATGGTTGTTAGGTGTATTGATGAATGCAAGTTCTACATGAGAATTGGTAAAAGGGTTGGTTATTGGAAAGTGGTGAGCTTATATGATGAGCATAATTGTCATAGAACAACATAAAATAAGCAAGCAAAAACTGGATGGTTGGGCAAGCAGTTTAGCCATATACTAAGGCATACTCCTGATTTAAAACCAGCCGGTCTAGTTGCTTTGGCATTTGATAAGTGGGGTGTCAAACTATCATCTGACCAATCTTATAGAGCTAAGAGAAGAGCAATGGATATTATTCAAGGTGTAGGAAGGGACCAGTTTACACATTTAAGAACTTATGCAAATGAGATACTTAAGTCCAACCCTCATAGTAACGTTGTGTTGAAATGCTCAGATTCTAGTGATGGCCCAGTTTTTGAGAGAATATACATTTTTCTAGAGGCATATGTTGCGGTGAGAATAGGATATCAAATTATTAATTAATTTGAATCGCAAATATTTTAGTTTACAACCGACTTTGATTTATCCGAAGGAAAAGGTCAAAGGAAGGAAAACCTAATTTTTGCATCGTAAACAATACGGGGAGAGACCTAGGTAAGGGGTTGGTTAAGCTTAGGGAAAATATTAGCACCCTAAACTTATGTAGTACTCTACAGGAACCTTATGTTTATTGTTTACTATTTGCTTTATTATTTGCTTTAGGGAATATACTGAGCTAAGGGTTGGATACTGACAGAAAGACCTAAGGATTAATCCTAAGTTTACTCACCAAGACTCGCATCTTGTGCCTACGTATCCGAGGTAGGGGATGGAATCAGAGTAATCATAGTTCCCCTCGAAAGGGAGGTTAGAAACTTCTTGACGGTGGTCAAGGTTTCATTGGGGAATAAGCGTTCTTAAGGAAGCGCTTACATGGAGTGCGGCGACTCCTATTTCTACGTTGTAAGTTGAATTGAATTGAAAAAGGGTGAAATTAGGTATTCCACAATAGGAAACCCTAAAACGGAGTACAGAGACTCCTTGACCTAATGCTAGGGTAAAGGGTATTTTCGTCCACGGTGGGACACCTAGGAAAATTAGGGTTTTGAATGGGTCAAAGGAGACGGACTATTGACACGGCGGTCAAACAGCTAGACCTAATCCTTCGGAGGGAATTTGTAACACCCTTCTAAACCGCACGGAAAATATATGAACAATCAGAGTAAATTATCATGCATTCACAAAAGGGCGTCACACATAACTTTCAAAACATCAAAAACCATCTGTCATGCTCATTAACACTTTAATAAATAATTATGCTTTTCAAGATTTCACTTTGCATGTAGCAGCGGATTCATTTTATAACATAATTCTCTTAACAGAATATTCAGATTCATCACATACTTCAACATTACTTAGGCACCAAGGTCAACATCATAATATTCCAATGAATATAAAAAAACATAACATAGGATACATAATGTATCTCTAAAATATAAACCAAACGATCCCAGTGTTACATGACCAGAGCATGACTCGACCCAATGTAACTAAATTACTAAATGGCTACACCAACAACGACCATGCAACTACGAGCATCTCTATTCTCGATACTTGCACGATGTCAGATAGGACATCATTCCAGCAGAAGGGTGAGAAATATTATCATAATAACAATGCATATAATCATATATGTATACACAAACATAGAATACACATATTCCACATTTTTTTCACCACAATTCATTATGATCATCATATACCTCACAATGTTTACATAAACCAATATGGATAATCATCAAACGTGTTCATCATACACACATCCATAATCCTCATCATTCCACATCAACATGCTCATATTATGTTTATTCACCAATTCACAGTTACACATTCACAATACAGATATAAACAGATATGGATAATTACCAAGCATATTTCATCTTGCCTACATCCAAAATTCTCAATCCAACAATTCACGCACATATGCATACTTTCGTACAACAATCGCATATTCATCATTCTCAATTACACAAGTCATGTACATACACATATGCATAACTTCATACAACAATCATATATTTATGCCATGAGACTCAATGCAACTCAATGCAACTCATGCCATGTGGTACCAACACTTGTTATCATTTTTCGGTTTTTACATTTAAACCGGGTCCATCCCTTAGACCGATAACAACAAAAGCCCGTCCTCTAAGCTTTCAAACCCACCCTTATAGGTTTGGGACAAGTCACTAGTCTCCACGAAACTAGCAAGCATTGCCTCTTGACCAAATGATGTGTATGCAATCAAAAACCAAATGCACTTAAGACCGTTCTTGCATCTTAATCCCATGCATTCTCAAATAATTCATCACACAAGAATTATAACATGATTGCACACTCACACATCATATCAAAGTATTCATACTTTCAAGATCATCACATTTATCAAGCAATGCACACATATTCACAATATGTTCTCATGCATTATTCACAATATTGCATTTAATCAATATGTATTCACAATTCAATACCACCACCTCATTTATCAAGCAATGCACACATATTCACAATATGTTCCCAAGCATTCTTCACATACAACCGCATACAATCAATATGCATTTACATCATCGTGCCAAATGGCAACAAACTTCATCACAAATCATCATGCATTTTTAATCAATTTAAACAATTCATTATATATGCCAAAAGGCCACATTTCACAATATTGCACAATCTAGGATTCACGCCATACGGCTACCCACAACATAACATATCACAACAGTACACAAACTATTCATTTCAGATCAAGATTGAATACAATCGAACCAAACACTCAATCATTGGATGGAAACACAAGGAAATAAGAATGCTGTCACACTCGCTAGCTTGCTCGCCTAGCGAGTTCCTAGCGAACACTCGCTACCTCGCTCGCTACTGTAACGCCCCGATTTCAATTATTTCATTTTATTGAGTGTTTTAATTGATTTGAGTAATAATTGTTTTAATTGTGAATTTGATGTGTTAATATAGTATGTTTTAATATTTTACCGTTTCGGAGAGTTTCAGGTAAAATTTAGAATGGAGGGTATTTTGGTCTTTTGATAGAAATAGAATTGAGGGGAAAAGTATAAGAGGAATTGGAGAGAAAATAGAAAAAAAAGAAATAGAGAGAGTTAGAGAGAAAGAAAAGAGAAAGAACAAGAGAAAAGAAGAGAAAGAGGAGGAAGAGAAGCAAAAACCTAGAATCATCAAGAATCAACATCCAAGCTTTCGATTAGTCGGGTAAGGGTGTGGAACTTTTTTATTCTATCCATGTGTATGATCATGTATGTGTTGTGTGGATTGTTTGGTAGTTTTTCTACACTTTCCATTTCTAGGTTGAAGTTGGTTTAATCGGTAGAAATCATTGTTTAACGGTTAGAATCGAGAATAACCTTTATAGCTTAGTCGGGATATGTTAGACTAAGAGTATTGAAACTAGTTTGGTGAGAATCGGGTGATATTTCGAGTTTCACCATTTTCGGTTAAATTGAGGTTAAGATTTTGAGTGGAAATCGAATGTTGCGAAAGTTGAGTTTTATGACCCTAATATATCCGTATATGATTAGTAAGGATAGATAGGTATTTAATCGGGTGAAAACTATTTAATCGATCGAGTTTTTGAGGATTTTAAGCTCAAACCCGTAGCTGTTTTTCTGAGTTTTTCAGGTGTTAATCGGTTAACCATATACGTTAACCGATTAACACATAGTTGGGGGCCTAAAAACTGAGTTTTTGGCCTAAAAACTGAGTTTTTGGAGTGGTTAATCGGTTAACCATATGCGTTAACCGATTAACACTGTAAGTGTGAGAAAATAATTTATTTCAAAACTTTGAAAATTCATAACTTTTTCACCGTTTATCGGATTTTGACGTTCTTTATATCAAACTGAAGCTAATAATATGTTCTACAACTTGGTGAAAAGAAATATTATTTTTATCCGACTTTTAGCCGATTTTACCGATTAATTGAAATTAATGATTTTGAGTGAGAAGAGCTTATATTAGCTAGAGCGTCCGGTTGTGATCGGTCTCGTCTCGTATGAATAAATGGTGTGTTATTAATTGTTGTGCTATGGGTAGTCGTAAGGCGTGAATCCTAGTGTATGAATCGAGTGTGAAATGTGGCCGTTTGGCAATTTTGTGCATTTGCGTGAATTGAATAGAAATGCATGATGAAATTGATTGTGAATGGAAACCATGTATGAAATGGTGTGAATTGAATGATGAATATATATATGCATTGTGATATATATGTTGTGAATGCATAACGAATGTTTGCAATGAAATGTGATAAATGCATGAGTATGTTTGTAAACATGTATGCCTTTTGTGTTGATTGATCCCGCGTAGGATCTGCAAAAGCCTCGTGTGCCCATGTGGAGTGTGAGCGATGGTTTATAGTTGATTGAGTCATGTTTGCATGTGAAGCATCATGATATGCATTTGTGCTATTTGATCCCGTGCAGGATCTGCAGAACCTCGTGTGCCCATGTGGGGTGTGAGCGATGATTATATTTGATTCCGCGTAGAATCTGTAGAACGATTGTGTGCCCATGTGGGGTGAGAGCAATTGGGCTGTGTGCCCATGTGGGGTGTGAGCAATCCATAAACACTGTGTGCCCATGTGGGGTGTGAGCAATTGGTGAACATCGTAAGTCCGACGGGGAGTTACTTCGGTAACGAGCGATGGTTCCATTTTGGTTCTTCAATTGAACCTGTTGA